TTGCTGTTGAACATGAAGTGGGTCTTATACTAGTAAACCTTCATGAATTATATTATCCATTATTACTGTATAAAATCATGACTGCTTCTCTTCTAAAACATTACCAGGACTCTACCTAATATTTAATTGTGTGCTTATTAGTTATTGGGGATGATGTGACTCATAGTTATAATCTCCTATGTCTTTTGTTTTCAACAACTGATCCCTTTGCTCTGATGTGAGAAAAATTTACCTCTATCATCCCAAATTCCCCACCTCCCACCATAACTAAGTTATAATCTCATTGAGAGCAAGATTGTATCTGTCTTGCTCATGACTATATTCTCAATCCGTTATGTACAGTAGAGGTTCAGTATGTACTGTGGAGTGAGTGACTGGATTGAAGCAGGATCCTCTTTTCAATGCCCAGTGAAGGCAGAAGTGGAAGGGACCTGTGTAAAGAAGCTGCACAAACTGTCCCCAAAGAGCAATATTATTTCATCTCTGCTTGGGAAAATCTCCTACCAGTGTGAAGCTTTTATGGATTCTTGAGACAATAACAACAACCTAAAGTGTACTATTCACTTTTAAAAAAATTAAATTAAGAGGCCAGGAAGTCATCATTTGAGTTAGGGCAGTTGGTGTGGTAGTTAATACCACTTGGGACATGAGAGCAAGACAATCTGGGTTCAAATCTTTAGCCTCCCATTTGCTAGCAGTATGCGTTTGGAGAAATTGTTTATGTCTATGTGCTCCGGTTACATCACTTGTAAATGGGGAGACCTACCTCATAGGGAGGATAAATGAGTTAATGTAGCTGAAGTGCTTAGAACAACTCCTGATTCATGAAAAGTACTATGCAGGTATTCACTGTTTACTACAAAGAAGCCACCAGCAGGCCCGGAGGACTAGATGAGCAGAGATTATTACCATGCTCTACCACCAACTAGCTATGAGTGCCAGTTTTAACTTCTCAAGGTATCTGTGTTCTCATCTGTCAAATGAGGGTAGTAGGCCCATAAAAAAGAGGCTTCTGTATTTCAAATCCTGTAATAATTTACCTCTATTCCTTCCCTTCTCAAATGGAAATGTACAGGGCTACTGCAAAGATCAAATAGTATAATGACTGTATAAACATCATACAAATGCAAAGCAAATGTAATGTTGGTTTTTGGTGTCAATATTGGATGTATTCAGTACTATATTCGCTATGCAATCATTATAATATTAATTTCCAAATCTGGTAAGTCCCAATTGCTCTATAAATATAATATTGATGGGTCAAAAAAGAAAATAGAGCAAACCACTTTAATAAAATGGTTGGCCTGCTTACCAGCAGTTTCCTCTTCTTTCTCTTCTCCTCTCTTTATCCATCTTTCTTCAACTTTTCTTCCTCTTCTCACACAAGGAATCATGGAATATTCAGAAAGAGTTAATTAACCCTATGAGATAGGTACTATTTTTAACTAGTTTTGCAGATTTTTTTAAAATGTTTCCCTTATACCTCTCTGTGGTATTAACTTGTGGGCTGTCACTTATCTGTCAGACAATATTTATTTATAACTAAAGGATGCTGCACAGGGCTGGGTTAATGCTGGTGACCCGGCAAGGGGCCAGGTCGGGGTCAAGCCCTTTTTTTATGGTTCCTCACCCCTCTCTCCTCCTTCCTGTGGAGCCCCTTTAATTTAGACTCATCCTCAGGATCCTCCTGAAGCAAGACTTGTCCAGGGAGACCTTGTTTCATGAGCATAAAACACATGAGAAGGAGGTTAATAGATGCAAAACCAAGATGTCAGGAACCTGTCACTCGAGAAATGCATTCTAGTGCTTGAGAACTCTTCTGAACTGTTTTTTCATTTAATCAGGTTAATCGAACCCAGGGAGACTTCACCTAGCTATAGGCAATAAGGCTGTTTACATAATAGGTAGATAATAAAGATATGCAGAAAGATTACATAGACCTATGCGATTATGTGGTATGGGGAAAAGGGGGAGCAGCAGCAGGCAGTGAACCATAACTAAGTGCTAGTCCTGTCCATACACTGCTAAATGCAATGACAGTTTTATTGCTTAATAACATAACACTATGATATGTTATCCCCACTATATGAATACAGCATATAGACAGGATTGAAATAAATGGGTTCAGAGGGAACCTGACCACAAAGGTACCAACTATGAACATAAATTGTGTCTGTTCTGCTCCTACCACTTCAATCGACCATCTATGCAGTGGGCAGGCCATTTGACACCACCCAGAGAATGTTTGAACTAAGCACTTACATGAGCATTATTTTATTTAATCCGCACAACTGCCCTTATCTTCATCTCAGAGAATACGAAGCTGAGGTGTAGAGAAGTGAAGCTAACGTACCCAATATTTGAAGTGGATATGTCTGTTCTATCATTCAATACACCTGTTAACCTCCATGATTATCCAAGAAAATGTGTATAAAAACACCTTGTGGTACATTGAAACTTATCAATTAATATTACAAAATCAGCTGAGGCCAAAAAGAATTTCTTTAGAATTTAATACAGCAATCATAATATCATTTCGTAAATATTTACGTTTCTGTATCAAGCCTTATCTCGTCGTCTTCACACAAGCCCTGGGGGAAGGTCCTATCTAATTTTCACATGTTAAATCACACGTGTTTTTCTGAAATGCTGTTAAAATGACTGTGACAAAGCAGCATCAGCTAAGGAGATGCTTCCAGTATTTAGATGCTTCCAGAAAACGCGGGAGCCGGGGGCCCTTCCCGGGTCTCAATGCCAGGCACAGCCCAGCCACACCTGGGCGGGGGGGGGGGGGGGGGGGGGGGGGGTTGGGGGGAGGAGGGAAAGACACATGGTTTCAAGAGCAATGGAGCCATTACTTTGCTGAACTTGGATGTAGGAATAGCGCTGCGTTTTTAGAGCCCTACGAGGGAGCTGCACATGCTATGCACTGCTAGATGCGCTAGGACCTCCAGCACCATGAATTCTGCCTTGAGCGTCCGGGTGGTTGCTGGAAGGAGGGCCCGCGCTTGGCTGCATATAGAGCATTAGGGTTGATCGCTTTCTCCCGGGTGACTGCGATAGACCTTATTACAACCAATATGAAAGGCCATTTGTTTCATTTGTTCTGCAAACGTTTATTGAGCGCCTGCCTTCCATTTCCCGATATACATAGCGCAGCAGCCACAGCCAGAAAGAACCCAGCGCCCGGGCGCGAGCGCCTCGGTGTCTGCCCGTGTGCGCTTAGGGCTAGGGCGCCCGGGGCGTTCGCCCCCTAGCCGAGGGCGAAGCCCGCAGCCGCAGCGCCAGCCTGCGCGCGCCCGAGGGCTGCCCTGCCCCACGCACGAGCGCACACACGCGCGCGCGCGGGAACGCCGGGTTCCCGCGTCCCCGGCGCTGTCCTGGCGCTCGGAGCAGGCGGGAGCTCTGGTCGGAGCGGAAGGCGGGAGCTCCAGGCGGGGCGGGTGCCCGGGAGCCGCGCTCGTGCCTGCGCTCCCCGGCTCCCTAAGCCCCGCCCCCCGCCCCGCCCCGCCCTCCCCTTCTCCCGCGCGCGGGCTCCGCGCGCCCCGAGCCGCGCGCGTGCGCGCGCGTGCGCAGGCCAGGGCCCTCCGGGGCGGCCCCGTAGGCTCCAACGAAAGCGTCGCCAGGTCCCGCGGTTAACCCTTTCCGGGCTCGCCCGTGTGGAGGCCCCGTCTGGTTCCGTGCCTGCGCAAGCCGGCGGCGCGCCTTCCCCCTCGCCCGCACCGCGCATGCACGGGAAGGGGGGGTGCCAGTGGGGGTTTTTCAAGGCCGGCTAGACATTCTGTGCTCGTGCTGGAGGAGGGCTGCTACCATCAGGGACGTGCACGGTGCCCCCCCCACCCCGCCCTCTCCCCAAACTCTAAAAAAAAAAAAAAAAAAAAAAAAATCCAAAACACACTGCTACCCACCGTGCCCCCCGCGCCCCGCGTCCATCCCGTCCCCGGCCTGCGTGCAGCGAGCGCGGGGAGCCCACGGCGAGTGTGTGTGGCTGTGCCAGGCTGCAGGTAAGCGCGGGCCGGGGGTGCGGAAGGGGCCCGGACCGTCCGCGAGGCGGGCGCGGGGGCGGCGGGCGGCCGGCGGGGCGGCCCGGAAGCGCGCTCTCGCCGTGCTCCGGGGCACCAGCCAGCGCCGGGGTGTGCGGGCGGCCGGCGGCGGCGCGGTGCGAGCGGGGACGGGCGTGGGCCGGGGCTGGGCCAGGCGCTCCGGGGGCTGCGCGGGCGGCGAGCGGAGCTGGGACAGCAGCCGGGCGGCCCCGCGCGCGCGCGCTCGCCGAGCCCGGCGGCGGCGGCGGCGGCGGAGTTCATGGCCGTCCTCGCTCGCTCGCACCTCCGCGGCGCTAAGCGGGGAGGGCGGAGACGGCCCGAGCCCCGCCGGCGCCTGGTGAGGCCCGCCGGGCGCCGCCCCTCGGAGCCGGGGACCCCGCCGCACCTCCCCCGCCCCGCGGCCCCCGGAGGGGGCCGGGACCCTCGCGCTCGCACTCCCGGGTGCGCCCGCCGAGCGAGCTCGGGGAGCCGGCCGCGCGCCGCCCCCGCCCCCGGCCGCGGGAGGGCGGGGGAGGGCCGGGCGCGAGCCGGCCGGGGAGTGCGCGGGGCGCGGGCGCGGGGCTCGCGGGCGGCACGGGGCGCGGCGCGGGGCTGCGGAGCCGGCCACACGCCCGCTCCCGCTCCCGCCGCCGGGGCCGCCGTGGGCTGCGCCGCCCGCGCTCGGAGCCCGAGGATGAGCGGGAAGGCGGCCTCCTCCCCTCCCGGCTCCCCGGCCGGCGGCGCTTTTGTTGGGGAAGGAGTACAAAGCCCCCCGCCGCCCGGGCAGCAGGGAATGGGAGCGAGGCTTGGAGAAACTCGGAAGGCTCCTCGATGGCTCTTCTTGCGCCCTCTTCTCCCTCTCCCCTCCTCCCAGTTGCGAGCTTTGGACGGGGAAGTCGGGCCGCCGCCATTGTCGTGGCTGTTCAGGGTAGGGAGGCGGCTGCCGATGCTTATGTAAGTTTGGCTTCGCGGGGCTCCGGCTCCCTGGTCGGCGCGCCATCGATTTGGAGAATCTTAATGAAAGGGCAGCTTTGGTTTGGAAGTGCGGTTAGTAGGACTACAGGTCTCACCGCCTACACATACGGGCAATGGGTATCTTCACCTGAACTTAGCCATTGGAAGATCTCAGTAGAAAAAAGTGGCCCAGAGAGAGAGAGAGAGAGAGAGAGAGAGAGAGAGAGAGAGAGAGAGAAGACCAAATAACATCCTAGCCAAAAAAAGGGGGGCATCAGCAGATGTGTATGGCCACTCCTCTCCCTGCCTAGTCCATGCCCTGTTATCCCACAAGCCAGAGGATGAAGGTGGTGGCAGCAGTAGGAAGTGATGAGGCCTGGTAGGAAGTGTGGCCTGGCCAAACTTTCTTTTGGGGGTGACTGCAGACCATGTTCCATTTAAGGAACGGAGTCAGAAGCATCCCTAGAAGTAATTTTGCCCAAGCCTCACCCTGGTTGCTGTGTTTTGCTTTGGGGAACTTTTTTTTTTTTTTTTTATAGTTTTCAGGATATGGGTCTCTTGGTTTGTGTCTTGCACCACAGTTTTTGAGTCAGACTATTGCAGCCCAGCCCCTATTGAAGTCTGTGTGATCACTGTTCGGTAGAAGAAACTTTTTGTATTTTTCAGGACATTGGTCTGCAGGATGGAGTCCCTCTGGTAAGACTTAAAATTAAAAAGCTAGAATTCTGCCCTACCTGGTTTGGCTCAGTGGATAGAGCATCGGCCTGTGGACTGAAAGGTCCCAGGTTTGATCCCAGTCAAGGCACATGTCCAGGTTGCAGGCCCAATCTCTAATAGGAGGTAGCCAATCAAAGATTCTCATCATTGATGTTTCTCTCTCTCCCTCTTCCTTCTTCTCTGAAATCAATAAAAATATATTTTAAAATAAAAAGCCGGAATTCTGCCAAAACCGGTTTGGCGCAGTGGATAGGGCGTCAGCCTGCAGACTGAAAGGTCCCGGGTTTGATTTCAGTCAAGGGCATGTACCTTGGTTTTGGGGCACATCCCCAATAGGGGGTGTGCAAGAGGCAGCTGATCGATGTCTCTCTCTCATCAATGTTTCTAACTATCTTTCTCTCTTCCTCTCTGTAAAAAATCAATAAAATAAAAATTAAAAAGCTGGAGTTCTTTGAGCTTCTCTATAGGGATACAGGTGAAAACACCTGGATTTCTCAAATGCAGGTTTAAAGACCAGTGTAGCTTAAATGATGAGTGCTACATTGTACAAAGTGTGGAAAGAAGAAACCAGCTACTGTTCCCTCTCCTCCAATGTTAACTGTTGGGTATATGACCTTCTACAACTTTCTCTGTATCTATAAATACATATTCACATATACACTCTATCTGAGCTTAGAGAAAAATGTGGAGGGCCACATACCTAGCAGGAAATGGTGGGGGGGAGGGGCACTTTCTGGCTTTTTCTGACATCTGTGTAGCTGTCAACATCTGTAAATGGTCTTTGTGAGGAGAAATTCTTTAGTGGCTTTCCAACACACACTCTGCGCACAGCCCCTGCACACTCCAATGCTGCAGCCCTTACCTGTTCTGCTTCAAGTCTGCTCAGAGCCGGACCTGATGCTGCCAGCCACCCTCCTCTCTGTTCCCAACCTGAAAATGGGTACATGTGCAAGTGGCAGGACAAGAAAGGAAAGTTTATTTTTTAAAAATATTCTTATTTAGAATTTGGAATAGAGGAAGATTCTATCTTATTCTTGTGTGTCCTTTTCTCTTGTAGGACTGGCACGCCACTGATCAGTTATTCTGATCTGAAGAATTTAGTGTTTCAAGCATTAAGACAATAGCCTGAGTTGTTCATGGTAACTATAACTTTGGATGTTAAATCTTGAAAATATGGTTTGGTTTTTGCTTTAAGGAATATATACACATGTTTGTGTGTGTGTGTGTGTGAACACACAGTTTATATGTGTTTGTGTGTTGGGCTGGCTTTTGCTCAGCAGTTCCTTCGAGTATATGTGTGTGTGTGTGTGTATACACACATATAAACTATGTGTTCGGACTTTTCTTTCTCCCCCATTTATACTTGCTGAATGAAAGGCAAACTATTTTTAAAAGAAAACATAGAATACATTATTAAAAGGTCATTTTCTGTGACATTATGACAGATGTCTTTTGTGCCAGTTTTAATTTTTTTTTTTTTTGCTTGTAAAATTCTTGCAGCACTTGTCAAGTACATCCATCTCAATGACGTTTTTGTCTGGATAGCAGATAGATTGGCATCGAGAGGGAATGAAACTGCTCATTTTGAGAGTCATATTAAACCTTAACCCTCATTCAGAAGCGGCCCAAAACTGGTATGGAAAAGATAGAAGACAACACCAAATGGAATATTTTGGCAGTGATATATATCCCTTTCTGGTTCTGCTACAGTGACTTGTCACTTCTGCCTAGGAAATAGAACATTGAATGCTGTTAGTTTTTTTACTGAAATAACTAACAGTGAAATTAGACTATACACAACATACATGACTGATGATGTTTGCCTCAGAATTCTTTCTCAAACCTTGAAACTGAGTTATTTGCCTTTATTAACTCTACTTGTCCGGAAGCACAGGTTTGGAGCTAGATTGCCTGTATTTAAGTCCCAGCTTTCCACTAAAAAACTACAATATTGGGCAGGTTCCCATCATCATCTCTGAAATGAAGATAGTAATACCTATCTCAGAGGTTTATTTGATCTTTACATTTGTGAAGAGATGGACAGCACATAGAACAGTACTTAGCATGTATTATGTGCTCAGTAAAAGTTGGCTATCATTATAACTAGGCAAATACTTAGTAAACTGAAGATAAATAGAAATAACAATTTGGAAATCCCCAAGTTGGGATGTCTTTTCCTACTCATACTCTTGAACCACTCCTAATGACTTTCTGAAATTGTTAGGTACCAAAAATTGATTAGATAATGAAAATCTACCTGTATTTTCTGTGTGGAAAAATGTTGTTCATAATTATCAAACTATGTTTTTAAAATTTTTTTTGTAGGAGTTTTTCATCAGTATGTCTGAAACCATTAAATATAATGACGATGATCATAAAACTCTGTTTCTGAAAACACTAAATGAACAGCGCCTGGAAGGGGAATTTTGTGATATTGCCATTGTGGTTGAAGATGTGAAGTTCAGAGCACACAGATGTGTTCTCGCTGCCTGCAGCACCTACTTTAAAAAGCTTTTTAAGAAGCTTGAGGTTGATAGCTCTTCAGTAATAGAAATAGACTTTCTTCGTTCTGATATATTTGAAGAGGTCCTGAACTACATGTACACAGCAAAGATTTCTGTGAAAAAAGAAGATGTTAACTTAATGATGTCATCAGGTCAGATTCTTGGTATCCGATTTTTGGATAAACTCTGTTCTCAGAAGCGTGATGTATCTAGTCCTGATGACAATAATGGTCAGTCAAAAACTAAATACTGCCTCAAAATAAATCGTCCCATTGGAGATGCTACTGACACTCAGGATGATGATGTGGAAGAAATTGGAGATCAAGATGACAGCCCATCGGATGACACTGTAGAAGGCACACCCCCCAGTCAGGAGGACGGCAAGTCGCCTACAACTACACTCAGGGTTCAGGAAGCGATCTTGAAAGAACTGGGGAGTGAGGAAGTTCGAAAAGTAAATTGCTACGGCCAGGAAGTAGAATCCATGGAGACCTCGGAATCGAAAGATTTGGGGTCTCAGACCCCTCAAACCTTAACATTTAATGATGGAATGAGCGAGGTGAAGGATGAACAGACACCAGGCTGGACAACCGCTGCCAGCGACATGAAGTTTGAGTATTTACTTTATGGCCACCATCGGGAGCAGATTGCCTGTCAGGCGTGTGGTAAGACATTTTCTGACGAAGGCAGATTAAGGAAGCACGAAAAACTCCACACAGCAGACAGGCCATTTGTTTGCGAAATGTGTACAAAAGGTTTTACCACACAGGCCCACCTGAAAGAACACCTAAAAATCCACACAGGATATAAGCCCTACAGTTGTGAGGTGTGTGGAAAGTCATTTATTCGCGCCCCGGACCTAAAGAAGCACGAGAGAGTGCACAGTAATGAAAGGCCGTTTGCATGCCACATGTGTGACAAAGCCTTCAAACACAAGTCCCACCTCAAAGATCATGAACGAAGACACAGAGGGGAAAAGCCTTTTGTGTGTGGCTCATGCACCAAAGCATTTGCCAAGGCGTCTGATCTGAAAAGGCACGAGAACAATATGCACAGTGAAAGGAAGCAGGTTACCCCCAGTGCCATCCAAAGCGAGACAGAACAGTTGCAGGCAGCAGCGATGGCCGCCGAAGCGGAGCAGCAGCTGGAGACAATAGCCTGTAGCTAGAGGTGATGGGACACGAACACTTTGCCTGAGCCGTGGGGACTGAGATTTCATTGTTTGTAATAAATGAACAACAGTCACTGTATTTTTTTTTTTTTTTTTTGAAAACTTATGGAACATTGTACTCACTGGACCGAAGGCAGTGCCCATTTAGGTATTTTTAAAAATTTTTAAAGAAAACCTTCCTTGTTTCTGACCAAACCGTTTCACTGTCCTGTCTGGTGTCTAGTATTAATGTTGCCAGTAAGTCTTGCCCCTTCTCTCTTTTTATGATTTTAATTTGAGGACTCCTGTATCCAGTTCGGAAGTTAGAGACTTCTGTTCCAATTTTTACTATCTCTCTCTACTTGCACTGGTGAATGCATTGCACAGAGTGATAATTGAGTAAGTTGATTTCCTAGTCACAATTATATGTGACTTTCGGTCAAAACAGCATATTTTAGAAATTCCAAGTACTTCATGTAGATGCAGAAAATACTGGTGGGTGGTTGACCAAGAACACTGCGCAAATATGAAAACAAGGCCTGGAAATGTAGAATGGTCTTAGGTTTGTATTGATTTATTAATTTTCTATCACTGTCTTTTTTCAGTTTTTGTGGACAAATAATGAATGGTTGCTTTGCTGAAGTGTTTCTTCATCCATTTTGATTGACCATACCTAACCCAAAAGATGTGGTTACAAGTCCCCAAGGCTGAACAAATCCATGGGTTATTGGTGATCTGGTGGCCGAGTTCCTTCATTCCTCTTATTTGGGGCATTACTACTCTGAAATTAAGTGGGATGAGTGGAGTGGACCAATGCTGAGAGGATTAGAAAGCAGTGACTAGGAATCTGGCTCTGAGAGACAAGGTTTTCACATATGCAATAATTCCAAGATTTCCTAGATCAAAATACATCTTAATTGATTTTGAAATTAGGGCAAGAACAGGTATGCATCCTCAGATACATTTGTGTAACAGACTGTTATCTAACTTTTGGGTTCTCGGTAGCACATGATTTATCCATAAAGGAGATGCAATATTGTGACTTAAATTAATACATTTAAAATCTTTAAAGTGTGTAAATAGTATAGAAGTGTTGGTCTTACGTATTTCAAGGGAAGTAGACAGTTGCACTTTTTTTTTTTTTTTTGCACATTGAATAAAATAACTTCTATCAGCAAGAAACATCAGTCTGTTGTTAACCAATATTAAAGAGTGTCAGACCAAATGTTTATGTTTTTGAAGTATATTTCATCACTGGCTACAGTTTTAAGTAGAGTTGATTGCCTTTTCATAGATGTAAGAATTTAAATGCTGTTCCAATTTTGGTATATGAAAAAATTTTAAACCATTTCTTTAGGAATATATTGAAATATCAATAATAGTTTGAATTATGTCATATAATAAAGCATTAGTCAATTATTTAAGAATGTACAATTTTAGAAAAATGTTGACTTTTAAAATTTATTTTTGGTTGCTAGGTTTTGTTTTTTTAAGAGACATTAAAATAATTGCATTTCATAGCTTGTTGCATTAACACCTATAATTACTACTGTGGGAGAAATTTTATTTTTTAAATGGTGTATATGTTACACCCAAGATTGTAGAATGAAGATGCTAACTTTTAAGAAACATATTTATTGGTAAAATGTTTGATTTAGTTTAGAATTAATTTCTTTCCTTAAAAGTTGTTTTTTCCATCTTAAAGTAGTGCTGTCACTGTTTATATGCTATTAGTGGAAGGGAAATTGATTGACATTCCTATGCTGTTTTAACCAAAGCAAAAGAAAAATAATTTCACATCTGGTTGATAGCTACTTCAACAAATCATTTTTGGGTCTTCACTTCAGTATATATAAGAAAATATACTTCTATCATTTCTGTTTTCATAGTAATCTTTCACACATCTGGGTTTCTACCAAAGTACATTTTCTACTATCTTCATCATGGTTTTTCAGAGTTGCAAGTTATGTGGTTAATCCTCATTGAAATCACATAATCAAAGTGGTAACCCCCCAAAAAAAGAAAGCTTAATTTTCAGCCCTTGATTTGTATTTTGTAAATATTTATAATTTGTCCGATTTTGCATGAGAAATATATTTGTGTTGCGATTTCTACCGCTGGTACTGGACTTCTATGTGTACTAGGGTGCTTGTCTGCGTGGTGGCAGCAAAGTCATGACATGGCAGCTTTCCTGTCTCATCATTGAGACTGCTTCTCTCCTCACCCAGCTGGCTTTAGTAGCCTCCTGGATGGTGAAACCATAATGTTAGACAGTTCAAGGGTAACTCTAATCACAGGGGGCTAATTTTTAAAAGTCACTTTTTTCTGTTTGAACAAAGAAAATACCTGCAAACTTAATTTTACCTTCTATGCCAACTTGCATTGTACTGGCAATGGTTGAGGAAGATAATTTCAGGAAGTCCAAACTTTAGGTCATTCGTCTACTAATTAACGTGATCACAAATTTAAAATTGTTAGACATTATAGAGATCACCATCAACTGAGCCTGATACTAATAAGTTCTTCCTATTTCGTTGAAGGGGGGGGAGATGGAGATGAAAGGAAGGGATGCGAATTTGTAGTTTTGATTGAATGGATTACGTTATGTAAGGTTCTCTGTAACTCAGTCATTGGAAATCGGGAATACATTTTCCAGAGTAATGCTGTTAGTGGTGATTAGTTCCTAGAACAGCTGTAAAAGCCTGTGTACCTGTAACAGAAGTAATGTAAGGGTTATAGTCTTGAGTTCTGAATCGTAGGAGTTAATAAGCTGATGCTTCCAGGAAAGAGAATAGAAGAAACTGTCCCTTTCATCTGCCATTTATTTACCTGTAATATCTACCTTTCTCCATTAGCCAAGCCCAGCACCTTCCCACACACCACAAAGTAGGAGAGACTAGTAAAACACCAGATTGGAGGCAAGGTAACCATTAACCACCACCCCAGTGAGAGATGAGGACCTAAATTTATTCTGATGCTTCCTTCTAATACTTAACTGAAATCAATGAGAACGTTCAGTGATGGGGTGCTCCCCACTTCCCTGATGTCCCACGCTCTCAGCTTTAACTGTTCCTTATTCCTTGAATTTTGTCTCCATTTTGCGTATTCCCTTGTAACTGAACTTCCTTCCTCTTGGAACAATTCAAAATAAAATTAATTCTGCAATTTAAACTAGGGGCTCAGTGCACGAGTTCGTGCACCTTGAAAGGAACTTGGGCCACGAGGCTTTGCTCGGCCCAGGGGTGGGTCTCAGCACATCCTCTGAACCTCCACCTGGTCCCTCCCACTGTGGCCCCTGGTTCTCTGTCTGCCCCACATGCTGACAGCACCAGCCCCGCTCGGAACCACTGATGGTGTGGAACTGTTGGGGCCGGTGCCAGCAGCAGTGCGAGCAGCAGCTGTTGCCCCAATCACTCCTCAGGAGTAGGGGGAGGTAGAGAAACCCTCAGGGCAATCAGGGCCATAGCCACCACTCACACCCGCTGATGGCGCTGAGTGATTGGGGCCAGCGCCAGCAGTGGGTGCTAGTGCCCAGCGGGATTGTGGCTTGTGGGGGAGTGTAGAATTTTCAGTAACCATCGGAGGCTCACCCCAATGACAGTGACTGGTGCCCCGCCTTAGTCTGGCACTCCCACTCACCTGCTTCAGGTGTGCCCCCTGGTGGTCAGTGCACATCACAACTACCGGTTGTTCTTCAGTTCAGTCTATTTGCATATTAGGATTTTTATATAGATAGATAATTTGCCTATCACCTCATTATCCATAATTTCTTAAAGGTCGCGATACTGATCTTAATATACCCTGAATGGTATTTTGTTGGATTGTGATATTTCAGCAGTTGTGTGATTTCATGATCTCCAAGAAATATTCCCAGTTACCAGTACTCATGTAGGTATTTCCAGTATCATTAGGGGGATGTGTACTTTAGTGAAAAGACTTATGTAGTCAAACTGGCACTGTTTATTAGTTAATGTCTAAATTTAGACAAGTTCTTCACTTCCCTGAGGGTTGGTTTTATATCTAGAATACTGATTGGGATTTCTGCCTCTTGGTCTGCTGTGAAGATTAAATGTGATAACCAGTACACAATGTTTAGCCCAGCATCCACTGCTCTTTAGGTGCACTGTAATCGTATCCCTCTTAAACGGCATTCTCTATAGAGGAGCAGAAGCCAAACTGAAGTTCTCTTGACTTTGACGAGTCTGTTTTACAAAATGACTTAAAAAAAAAAATTCTCTCCCAAATATATGTTTTCATTGATATTTAGAGAGAGATAAACATTAATTGGTTATCTCCCATATGTGCTGTGACCTGGAATTGAACCTGTAACCTAGGTTTATGCCCTGACTGGGAACTGAACCTGGAACTTTTTGGTGTACAGATGACGCTTCAGCTAACTGAGCCACCTGGCCAGGGCTCAAGTGGCCCTTTTCAGTGTATACTGAGAAAATATATTTGCTAAACATTACCATTTCCATATGTTAACATTACCATTCTCATTTTTCCCTCATCGGTATTGGATTGAGAAAGGGGAGTGTAATAGACTATCTTTAAAAGAATAGATTCTGGCATCAAGAAAGAACATGGATGCAAAGAAAATTAGACAAGTAAGAAATAACATGGCCCTAGCTAGGTTTGGCACAGTGGATAGAGCATTGGCCTGTGGACTGAAGGGTCCTGGGTTTGACTATAGTCAAGGGCACATACCCGGGCTGTGGGCTCGATCCCCAGTACAGGGTGTGCAGGAAGCAGCCAATCAATGATTCTCATCGTTGATTTTTCTCTCCCTCTCCCTTCCTCTCTGGAGTCAAGAATATATAATAGCATGGCCTTCCAGCAGCTTTGGACAAGGTACCATATATTAACAACTTGGGAGGGTTTTTTTTTTTTTTGGGGGGGGGGCAGGTACTTATAGAGCAATATAGGGTATGTCCAGCAGAAGCTGTGAAATGAGAATTGTGAGTGAGCAGGTATTCCCTATGAGCCTCAAACCTAGCATTTGTTGAGCATTTACTAAGTACCAGGCACTATTTATACTATTTCTATGTACATTTTGTGACAACTCTGAGGCACACCTTATTACTGATGAAAACCAAGATTCAGAGAAGTTAAAAATCCTGCCAATGTCAATATCTGGGACAGAACAGGTAGATCCTCCAGAGCCTGTATCCTTGGTTACCATGTCATAATGCCCTCAAACAGGGATAGGAGTAACTCCAACTTGTACACATCCTTACCAACTTCAGTCCACTTTAGGAAGAGGGAGAGCAGCTGGTGGAGAGAAGCATTTATGCAAACAATTACCCCTAAGCTTATATCATTCATTAATTTCAATATTTTGATTTCTCATGCAAGGAACAAATACTAAGCTAACACTGTTTTACCTTCCTTTGGGTCTAGAGACTCCCCCAAATAATATAGAAAACTGTAGATAAAGTGCCATGGAAGATTGCAAAATAACAGAGCTACTGGTTGGCTGTCTTCATGTGTTCCATTATTCAGTGAGTCAGGGAAACCCCAGCAGACCAAAGACCATCTAGTTTGGTGTCAAAATTAACTCTATGTTTGTAAGAATAGTTATGTGTCAGGAGATCTCCCCCACCTCTCCGAAAATTGCTAGAAAACTTGAATTAAGATTCTACCTCTACTGCTTTCAAGCTAACACCACCTTGGGATAATTGCATAATTTTTCTTAATTTCTTCAGCTAAAATGCAAATGGTGATTCCCTGTCCAGTTTACCCCACTCTTGCTTATTATTTCAAAAGATAAACCCATTTCTTGCATAAGTAATATGAAAATTGGCTTTTAAATGGTTTTTAAGATCAGATATGATTGATTTAAAATATTACCTCAAAAAGATGGAAAAGGTTAGAAAGTAAACAGGTGGGGAACTTAAATTTACACTTTATTCTTAGGCTGTTTACATTTAACTAAATCAAGGGTGTATGTATGAGTACTATTTCTCCTAAATCTTGCAATACTTTAGCAATTCTGTGGTATTCTGCAGTTTTCCAGCATTCTTTCAGCAAATATGAAATGGGAACCCATAGTGTGGGTCCATGCACTGAAGGGTCTTGGATTCAATTCCTAGTCAAGGGCAGTTATCTGGGTTCTCTCTCTCTCTCTCTCTCTCTCTCTCTCTCTCTCCCTCTCTCTCTCTCTCTCTCTCTCTCTCTCTCTCTCTCTCTCTCTCTCTCTCTCACACACACACACACACACACACACACACACACACACATTGTAAACACCCTCAAATCTATAAAATAACACACATATGCTATAGTAGAAATTCAGGGATATTATATATTGTCACAAATGGTAGGATTTCCTCATTTTTATGGTTGAATGATATTCCATTGCATATATAGGGATACCTCATAGATAGAATGATTTGGGTCCCGATTACTGCAGTAAAGCTATTATCAAAAAGGGGATCTGCCCTGGGTGGGTCTGTCTAGGGCCAGCCCACAGTGTGTGGGTTCTTGACTTCATGCAGGAAAGATTTCACAATATGTGAAAGATTTCACAATAAATTTTAGAACACTTATTAAAGCTAGTGATACAGCAATGGGCTGGGGAAATGAGTCTAGGCTGCTCTGCTTTGGCTCCCTAAGAAATCAGAGAAAAAGGGCCTTGGGGACAAGTTCAGGGGGTTTGTCTAGGACGAACTGCTGCTGCCCATTGCTGCCCTGGTTGCAAGCCTCATGGGGTCCCTTAGAATTTAGGCAATGCATGACTATGGAGGATGAAGGGGGGAGAGGTATGGGTGTGCTCCTGGAAAAGAGCACTCTGGGACCTTCGATTTGAAGGGTTTTAAAGGTGGGGCATTTTAGGGGAGGATCTCAATAGAATATCCATCAGCTTTATGCTGATGTATCAAAGTGAAAATTACTCTCTTCATCTTTTCTTGGGTGTGGTTGGCAAATAGCACTAATAGGATCTTTCCTATCTTCTCCCTGAGTTGAGTGAATTAAACTATTTACCCTCTGGTTGGGAAGAGTTGCAAACCATTTACTTTTAAGTGTCCCTGGTTTAGGATTTATTAGGTAGCTGAGATTGCTTGGCATCTTGATGGCTGCAAACTGCTGTTTAACTGTCTGGTCTCAGTTTCCCTATCCCCTTGTCCTGGCTTACTGGCCTGCCTCACTAATGGCCAGTGATTAGCATCTTTCATGTATCTGTTGGCTATTTGTATATCTTTGGGAAAATGTCTATTTAGGTCATTTGCCTATTTTTTTAATTGGCAAATTATTTGCTTTAAATGAAGGGCTTGTACTACATGGTCTTTAAGTTTACTTCAAGATTCAAGTTTATTGTTTTATAATTATTTAATTAGTTCAGCTACCGTGTTTCCCTGAAAATAAGACATTCTCCGAAAATAAGACCTAGCACAAGGAAAGATAAGACATCCCCTGAAAATAAGACCTAGCGCAACTTTGGGAGAAAAATTTAATATAAGACACTGTCTTATTTTCGGGGGAACGGTACTATCCTCCAGATATTTTTTAATGTAATTGCTTTAAATTTGCTTGCCTTCTAA